GAATGCAGAATCTAACAATCATTAATGAGATACAACTAGTTAAAAATGAAAAAATTCAAGAAAACGCGTTAAATTCGTTCACTTGTGAAAACGAATGCAGAATCTAACGATCATTAATGAGATACAAGTAGTTAAGAATGAAAACATTCAAGAAAACGCGTTAAATTCGTTCAGTCGTGAAAACGAATGCAACGATAACGCATGTTTAACTAGTTATTAGTCGTTCAAAAGAAATCACGCGTGAAAAAGCGTGAAAAATTTAACTCGTTTTCACGAATTTAACAGAATTAACGAGAACTCATGTAGCTGTTATTCGTGAAGTTTCGTTAATTCATCTTTTCACGCGTTTTTTTCCGTCAAATCTTCGTTAAATAGAAAAAATTTTTTACATGGGTAATGAGATAAAATAGTTGCTACTATAGCTTATTATAAACAACTAGATAGATTTAGAAGAATGTTCTGGGATATATGCTTTCAGTCTGATGGACCTGTCTACATCAGATAGAAATTTTATTTAACCTAATTAGTTCTAAATCTAATCAAATAAAATTTTTTTTATTCAGTTGTTCATACTGATTCAGAATATAATATTTTCAAAAAGTTTGTAAAATAAATTTAATTGAATCTAACAGCTTCTGCAGGCCAAGCAAATGCGTACTTACAAATACTATATATATATTACTAATTCATGGTATTTAAGATTGTTTGATCTAAGTAATGAGCGAATCGAAATAAAAAAAAATGTATATATATTCATAGCCAATTTTTTAAGTTCTATTAAATCATTTATAATAGAATGAAAAAAAATTCACTTGATTTGTTTGTTTTTTGTATCTAATAAAAGTAATACAATAATTATTTGCTTAAATAAAATGAAAAAGAAAGTTCATTGAATTGTGTATGTTGGGCAATGATGTTCAGTGACGTTGATGCTTCTCACGACAACTTGAACTACTATCTTCACCAGATGATTCTCTAATGTCTGTACCTTGAACAAACAAAACAACAAAATTAATTATGTGATATTTTACTCTATGAAGAATATCGTTTTGTTTTCTTTGTTTATCGCATTTTACGCAGAAAAACATAATTTATCTCTAATGAGCAACGATGATAGAACAATGAATCGAATGCTTTCGAATAAATAAGATTCTTATTTCTGAAATGTTGAGCTCATTTTCAACAACAACAATAAATAAAATCTAATGATGCTGCTTGCATTATTTTGAAGAAGCTTTTCTTTATGCTTTTGATAGTTTTCCAACATAGAAATTCAATTTTTCTAAATGTTTTATTCAACCAGTGTTTTTTTCAATTATATTCAATAGAAAAGAATATATTTATATATTCTCACTTGATTTAACTACCGTTTTAAAGTGAAGAAAATCATAAATTTACCTATACCATTATTAGTGTTCATTCCACTTTGACCAATATTGTTTGACATGCTAGTATCATACAATCCTTCATATCCAAGACCATTTGATCCATCCATACTACTTGATTGATTAGTAGTACCAGCACCTTCTGAACTTCCCATTGATGAGAAACCTAAATGTTGTGCTGTATCACGATTAGAATTTGATTGATGACCAGATGAGGACATTTTTGAATATTTTATTCACAATAGAAAATAAATATTTGTAACTTGTTTGTAAAATTTGTCTGTGAAATACAGTCCAAGATGTATCTTATATAGGAATGATAATACGCAATAGTTCAAGTGATCACCAGAAGTCAACATTCTTTTTAACTGTAGTAGAAAGAACGAAGCAAAAGAAAGTGACCAAAAATAGAAGAGGAAAAGAAGAATTTTATTTATCGACGGCATTTGACTCATATTCGATTGATTCTTGTTCTGATAATAGAAAAAGTGAATGAGAACAGTTGTTTATTCTTTTTCAACTTTTTATTTGTATTCGTAGAAAAATGATCTACATACCTAAAATAATCTTATTTGTTTTCAAAGTCATCATTCCTCATTATCACAGTTGTTTCAAACTTACCAAAATATAGATTATTGAAATTGATACATTTAAGAGAAGGTTTATGAGAATATTGGACATTCCCAAATATGATCATGCTATTGAAAATTTTGAAGACTATGAATTTTAGTCTTTTATATCTTGCCTGTGAAACTTATCAAACAAATACTGAGCTGAGCTTCAACTAGCTTTGCGATTAGAGTTTTCTTTTATTAGGCTCGACGTTTAATCATTTCCTCCATAATATCTCATTTGATACAAATAATACAATTCAACAAAACTAAGTCGCATATATATTTTTCCTTTGTCTTTTTTAGTATATGCTCGATTTCTCTACTACCTTTTCTGATGCAAACAAGACATTGGTTTGTCATTATTTTTTCTGTTTATTTTTGTTCTAATATTTATTCAAATTTGGGATTCGATTTAGATTCATTTTTATGCATTCAAAACTACATTAGAGATAAGCTATCAGAACAATATTTGAGGTCATCTATGTCAGAGACCCAAAACAAATCGAATGAAGATACTTTTATTCAATTTGTTTACTGGATCTCAAATCAATGGGGAAAAAATGAAAAGAAAAGATCAAAATACAGATTATCTATTACCTGTTTAAAAAAGGCAAGATACAATATTAACTATTATCACTAAGTCTTTCGACGTATGACAGTTAAAATAGCCGAAAAATTCGAAACAATAGAATAAAGGCTCGAATTTTCAGATGCCAATTCGCAATGAACACCAATTAAATTGACTTAATTAATATTATGTGAAAGTGATAATTGACTCAAATAAGTTTCACAGATACAAAACAAAAGAATAGCTGTTTAGAAGTTATAACCAAAGTCTGTCTACCTATCATAAACAGAACTGCTTGTTGTGAATGTGTATTTAAATGACTTAGAACATATACTATAATATAAATATTGTTTGATTGATGTAACAGTTTTTCGATAGCTATCTATTCACAATCTCATAACAATCTTTTAGTATGATAAGTTTAATAATAAAAATATTTTTTAATTTTTAACTCTATATATGTACGTATATCACAAAAATGATGTATATTCATACTAACCAGGGTTTCACTATAGTAAACACGAAGAAAATCAGAAAATCAGAACATAGCGTTGACTATAATAACCATCGCTGTGATGATTGCATATTTGTAAAAATATTGAGATTACTGAATGAGATTGCTGTCTATTCTTTCTTTTGTATCTGTTTAACTTATTCTTTTCAAACAGAGTTTTTTTTAAATAAAAACAAACTGTCATTCTTTTATTATAAAGCTTTTGACCTAATTTTCGCACCGTTTCGTTTTCGTTCATTCAATTTTGATATATGTGTAATTTTATTGTAAAAAATAGACTTTCTAATTGTATTGTTTGTTTTCAAGTACATAAAAGAATAGAAAAATATAAAAATAAGTTACTTAGTGAGAAAAAAAACATTAGAGAGTCAGAAGTAGGTAGTATGAGCGAAAAAAAAAATATCATTTTTTTATGTAACAACGTGAGTCGAATAGAATTCAAACAAAGATTTTCTCGTACGTGTCAGTTTCTGTTAGCCATCTTATTGAAATCAAGCCTAAATATAATACATTTGTCTGAATAACAACCTTATATCGCAACATCTTAATCTAATTTTTTTTTTGAAAAATATTGCCTTCAATAGCTTATCGTAGAATTGATTAATAATTATTTCCTCAGAACATTTTTTTTTTGTTAAAAAAAAAATAAAACTTGTTACAGTAATTGCAAAAATATTTCAATAAAAGTATGAAATAATAATAGTTTTTCTACGAAATTTCACTAAGGAAATATTTAAAAACTAAATTCATTATATTTTAAATTTTATTTGATTTATCTTACAAAAAGAAAGTAGTATTTGGATATACAAATACATTATATGAACTTCGAAAATAATGTATTTATACTTTTTCTATTCATGAATCTAATAACACTACTTTTAACTTTGAAAATTTTATATATGATTAGATGAATTATATTTCTATAATTACGAATCAATTCGTATTATTTTTATTTTTGTTTCCTCGAATAATTATTTGTAGTTTGATAAGATAATCAAAACTTAATAAATTCATGGATGTTATTGAATAATTAGGTCGATGAGTACAGTTTATTTTCCGTGATAAGAAAGAAAGAGAATATATATTTTTTTTGTTTTATTTCTCTTTGTTCTTTCCAAGAAAAAGGATCCTGTAGGATGGCTTAAGATATATTACTTGTCATCGAAAAGGAAAAAGAACGGGTCGAGAGATTTATGTTAGCCTACATTTGAATAATATTTTGTTCTTGTTATTTGTAAACAGAAAATAAAGAAAGCTGCATAACCCAAAACGTCAGTCATACGTTATATAACAATGCTTTAGTTAATTTTACTATTCGAATATAAACCTGTTTATATTAAAATATTTTATCAAAACTATTCGAACAAATTTAACATTCTTTGGCAGAAGAAAAATATTTTATCATGGATTATTACGAGATTCTCCACATGAGAGCATCGAGAATGGTCCCAATATGCGAGATACCGGTCAAAATTTTAATTTTTTTTATGCGCATTAGAATGGTCATCATTTAAAACCACCAAGTGCAAACTTGTAGCTTATTTGAATGTTCTACAGAAAAGTTAGCCTACTTTTGAGAAAATAGTTAAAAATTTCTCATAAATGTCTATTAAGAATATACTTTTGGAAATCAGAAAATTTTTTCACGCAACATATCAACAGATAAAGCATAAAAAACCGAAAAAAGTGAACTATTTAACACATGAAATATCATCGCTTTTTCGGGGCTAACATAAGTATTACAGTGTCAGTAGACAAAGAAATAGTCTCTAGGGAACTACGTAGATAATGTAAGTGTGGATAGGAATGTGCTGAGAGACTTTCTGAATATAAGATAATGTCATATATATATTTATGAAAAAGATCATGATCTACGAAACATCGAACGACAAGACAGAGATGATTGATGTTGACGATATTGCTGATCCAGTCAAGCGTTCCTCAATTGATCAACAACCCGCTACGATATGGATTCGCAAGTGTTTGTTCATTGTAATTATTATTCAATTGGTAAGTCTTTCTCGATCTTATAATGAGGTTTACTTAAGAATCTTTAGAAGAAAAGTTAGCTCAATTAATGAAATGAACGCATATGAGGCAATATCATCCATATGATCTTCGCAGCTTATCACAAGAGATACTTTTAAAAATAGTATATAACTATTCAATTATTATTTAAATAGTTGATTTACTTGTGTGATGATTTCTATTCGCTTCTCTCTTTTGTATTGATAGGATGTTTCCACTTTTTTTTTTGTGAAAGCTAATAGTTGTTTTCTACTAACAATGAATACTTATTAGTTAACTATTCATTAAAAGTAATTGACCGTGAAATTCTCTTACGTATCTTTGTTAGCTATCCTTATCGATTTTCTCTATACGAAAATTTGTATTTCTTTTAAGAATGAGCCGGAAATCTTCGCTCATTTTAGACTGAAAAGATTTCGCAATTTTTCAGAGAAAAAGCAACATTCGGATGTGGTCGTGATGTCCAACACTGTTAAGTACATTTTAAAATCATTTCGATGGCTGGAAAACTTTGATTTGTTAAAAGAAGACCATTCGTACATTTAGAGAAACAGAAAAAAATCAAGTGTTTACCTTGAAGTTTTTAATTAATAAAAACAACTGATTTCAGCGATTTTCCCGTTGGAATAGAAGTGAAAGATTTTTTCTAGCAGAGTGCTTGATTTGTTCTGAGTAGCGACGACAGTCCCCAAGCACCTCATGATGAGACTATTCTAACTATAAAAAGAGTCATACAATCAATGTTACAAATGCAAGTCGGATTATTACTGAAAAGTCATGCATGTTGATTTCCAATACATGTCTCACCTAAAGTTTGAAGTCAATTGAACGAAACTTGACATTCAGGTGTCAAGCTTCAATCATATTTACGGTTCTTAATCGCCAGTTTGCTGTCTTTTTAAAAACTAAGATACTCAATAAAAGCAAATGACGTTGTCAAGGCGTGAAGTGATCTAAAAACAATATACTGACATAAAATATGCACAGTTTTATTTTAGTCTCAATATATAATCGTTCTCACTAACAACGCTACGCTGTCATACTTATCTCCAGATCAGTTTCTTTTGTTGTACGATGAAGAAGAAAGAGAACTCATCACGTATAACTTTCTTTTGAACGATTGGAAAACCTTGTGGATAGACTAGAGTTACAATCCAATTTATGCTCACAATTCTAGCTTGAAGCTTGAATCCAACTTTGAAGTTTGACACTAGTATGACAGTCAACCCAACTGATTTAACATCAGCTATAACCCGTTTATTAAATACTGCTTGCCTATTTATATAGTTTCTAGTTTGCACTAATATCATCGTTGCTATTCGTTCATTGGTCATTCATCACAAATCTCGTAGCGGTAATGTTCGAGGTATGATACATAAATCAATTGTAATTGCCTTCCAATTGATCGATCTGGTCTACCACGGATATGGACTCTTTGTCACTTATCGACGGTACAAAAGCGGGCTGCGTTTAGTATGTAACTTTTTATGCATAAGAAAACGCATGTAAACTAAAATTCTATGACAGTATCTATGTCGGAGAAGAATACAAATTACCACTTTCTTTTTATTCATTTTCCCCAATTTTTCGAACAACTTTGTTATCGTCAGATGTTATAAACTTTTAGGAGTAATTAACGAGATGGAATGGCAGTAGAAACGAAGAAAAAGATAATACTTTTGTAGGACTTGAACGATACATCTTTTGCTATTCTGACAAATGTCCTAAGCCACTAACAATAGAAAAAACTTTTGATTTTCCATTTAGAAGTGTATTGAAATAAATTTCTATCCTCACAAATAGGTCATATATTCTAATAGAAACAAGCGCAGTTCATGTATTTCAAGCATGCCAAAAAAGAAGACAGAGATATTCGATGAGTTCCACAGACTGCTTTAGGGAGACAGACTTACTGACCTATTTGCTCTTTGAAGCTTAGAAAAGAGTACTCAATCATTAAAGCTGGATATGTTACTAGCAATAGATAAAGTAGAATTCATGTATATCTCAAAGTCGAGAAATCATCTGTCATTACTTTCTCTCTCGATACCGATACTGCTGAAAAACCTTTGCTTTTCTGCAGACATTTACAATGTTTAATCGAAAAGTAATTGGTCTTGTTATTTTCTGCGGATTTATTCAACTTTTTTTTTTTTACATGACTTCCATCATATTGTTGGCATAAAACGTGCTATAAATGTTTGTAGGTAGTGGTCAAACACATTCAAGCATAGTTAGAGTGATCAAATTTAATCTAGAGATCTAATCTTTTTTTCTCAATAAGAATCCGAATTAACATTTTATCTTCGTAGTATGCCACATTGGGCAAGTTTTTTATCGCATTTCTATGCATCTCGATGATCATATCGTTGATGGTTCATTTCTACCAACAAGCACAAGAGAGCTACGTAACACAAGTATCACAAACCACCAGTGAACGTATTCAAGAGCTCATACCATATGGTGAGACAATCTTGGCCATTATTTTATTAGTGAGTGATGTTTCTGCACTTATATGTAATATGAAACTGTGTTCAATTTAGATACTAACAGTTAAACTGGCTCTAAAATTGTCAAAACAAAGGTCTAGCGTTTGATCATCAAACATGTCACAGTTGTACTGCTTCATGCTATTCGATTGAAGAAGCATTTAATCCATTGAAAATAACTCATTGCGAACCCTCATGCGTGTCGCCAAATACCTAGTCGAGCCATTGAAATAAATTTAAAACCTGCTTTTAAATTTGTGGAATTATTTGAAGCATGGAGGCTTTGAGTTTTTACTAAAATTTAATTGAAACTCAAGTGGTAAAAATTTAGATTAGAGCGGTGGAACATATTTGTCCTCAAAGTGAGAGTGATGACACGTTGACTCGTATGCCTTCAGTTGTACGTAGGTTTCCATTTCTAGGAATTCTTTTTCAGACGATCATAATTTCAAATAAGCGAAACTCGCCTATTGATGGAGTGAGGAAACTTTTTTGCATAGGATTAGTGATTGGTGAACAGATGTGATAATGGAATGGTGTCAATATATTCATTCAAGAAAAAGAATGAAGAGTGCCTCTTTTCAGTTTAGTTCATTACTCTCTTTCTCTCTTTTTTGCTTTCCAGTTCACTATAGATACATAAGCTCTTGCCTTGTTTCATCAATTAGTAGATTTGTGCGCCTTGTTCTCTGTAATATCAGAGCCATCACTATTCTCGAAGTTTATGCTTTTGTGTGAGTTGATATAAGTCGTTTTGTTGTTATATAGACTGGGATGGAGTATTAAATGTAAATGTGATCGATATATTATCATGAAGAAATACATCAGTGTGCCTTCATTGAGAAAGCAAGTGAAGATCTTTGCTAAGGAAAAAAAAAAGGAGAAAAACAGTCTCTAAAATACCAGTTGTCGCACTCATGAACGCATGTTTTATTAAGCGAAGTCATGAGAAATGGATAATGATATTTATTGGCTATAACTCGAAATTATTGGATAAATAGTAAGAATGATTGTGGTTGTGCGAGTTCTGCTTTTGATCGCTAAAGAAATGGGAGCAATCTTACTAAAGAAGTGTCTTTTAGAAGGGCAAACGTGAATAATAGAAGGTAACGGTTTAGGAAGAATAAATATTTATTGCCCGGTATCCGTATTCAGGTAATAATGGATAAGATTCATCTGTGATTGATTTTCTAGGTTTCCAACATCAATAAGAAATTTGAGAAATCTAATTCGACTCATCATATTTGTTCCTGACTTTTCTTCGATCGAGGAAGGAGGATTGAAAATCTGAGAAAATGTTGGGACCCTTTTTTCTAAACGAAGATATGTGCGAAATGAGAAGTGAAAGCCTGATGAAATAGTGATAGACCGACCATCGCGTAGGTTTTATCAGTTTTTTAAGCTTCTCTGATTTTCAACGTTTTTCCATTCTTTTTAAAAACTGTGGAAATCAATCATGTATTGTAAAAATCATTCCATATTCATTTAAATTATTCATAAATTCAATGCTTAGATAAAAAATTTCATCTTTTCAATTGAATTCCCTGGAATAACCCTATCATTGAATTGTCACAGTTATTACAGGGTTATCGTTTATTTTAGATCTTGTGTATTTTATTGATTATAGAATATTTCATACGATTATATAATTTCTTTCAAAAAATTAGAAAATGAAATTTATTTTTAAAGTTATATGTGTTGTTTCTTGCTGATCGGATTTTAAAAAGTGAATTGTGCAGCTAATAGAATCGTCAGAAAGAGTTGCCAGTAACATTACTTATGGATATATTTGCTGAGATAATTTAGAGGATTATAATTATCGGATAATTTAAGGGTTCGGCGATGACTGGGTAAACCTGCAACAGGCGTTGAATCAGGACCTGACTGTTTCCAGTCAGTTTCGTAATTTGTATCGACTAGATTATGAGCACCATGAGGATTGTTGTGTCGAAGTGGTTGAGTTGGCACAGCGTATGACACACAAGGGCGCAACTGATTGCCGGTAACACCAATAGTAGGTCTGTTCTGTTGTACTCCGTTACGCAATGATGTTGTGACATTTAACTGCCGATGTCGAAGTTGAGGATTTGTTGTAGAAATTGAGTATTGTCCGGTTATATTTTGTGACTGCTGTTCAGTATTATGCTGCTGTTTTCCGAGAAAATGTAACCAATAAGCAATACCAATAATCAATTGATTAGCATAGAGCTGTTGTCGCCAATTTTCTGGAATCCGTTGATAGCCATAGCAAGCACCAGCCAACTGACCGTAAATGGCTGCCGTAGTATCAGTGTCGTCTCCGAGCTGGATAGCAGCAAGAATTCCTTTTCGGAATGAATTACCATCGTAATAAAATGCCCACAGAGCGGCTTCCAGCGCGCTCACTATGTATCCCTTGCCTCGAATTCCATCAGCATACCCACGAGGTCGCTTGTAGGAACCCTGAGACACCTGAAGTATTTCTGGATGAAGATTTTTCGGTCCGAACCAATGTTGATGATCGTTATAAAACGTATTACTTAATAGTTTCTCTTTAGGCTCACCACGTACAGCCGCGACAATAAGTGCTGCATAGTATCGGCAAGCATCGTACGCTATTATACTTCCATGAGTCAGTGTGGCACTGAGCCCAGCATAGCTAACGGCCTCGATGGGTGACCAAAAATAAAAGAGTGGTACAGGAGCGAGACGCATGAGAGCTCCGTTTCCAGCGACACCCGCTGAGCTACAGTCCAGACTAAAATCTTTTACGCTCTTAACTTTCTCAAGTGGAAGTCGATCGACTTCTTCGTCAGTCGTGCAATGAAAGACATCTTTTAGAAATCTTTGACGATGACAAAATTCATCAAGAGCTTGACGAGTAGCATTGCCAATATCGAAACAGTTTCCAGTGGACGAAAGAAAGCCGTATTTATACCACCATTTATAACGAACCATTTGATCATAAGGATCAAAACGCTGTTTTGTAATTAGTGATGAAGCGAGACATAATGCCGTAGATGTATCATCTGTCCATTGACCTGCATCAAGACCCCATGTGCCTCCTTTCTGCATGTCAGAAACAGGATGATGTCGAAGATAATCATGTGAACGAAACTCAACACTGGCTCCTAGTGCATCACCTACGGCTAATCCGATAAGAGAGCCAATCACTCGATCAAGAGTAACTTCTTTTGTTGCTAAATCTTCTGGAAATGTAACTTGAATCTCGTGTGGAAGCACACGATCATAAGGAGAAGGAAATTTAATCATTGAGATTATACTAAAAAATTGAATCTAAAA